ACGGACGGGGCAACCGGGGCAGCCTCAGCCCTCGCTCGTCCGGGCAAACGCGGGATCCCCAAGAGGGGATGCGCAAATTGTAGAGCAAATTAGGCCAATTCGAAACAAATAAGCACTCCAGGAAGAGAGCCTGCCACTCCCAGAAAATAATTGAAAAGAAACCGGGCACTGTTATACTGACGGACTAATTACACGGAGGTCAAAGTAGTTGCATGAGCTAAAGAGCTTGTACTAGCGCTGTAGTTTGAGAGTGGATTATGTTCCCTCTTAGGTCGATGGCATATATTTCATCTACATATGCACATAAGGTGGCTACAAATAACTCCCCCATCCACCTCTCCACCCCCCGACAAAGGTTCTCTCTAACCCAATCCTGGACCACAGTCTCAAAAGCCTTCCAAAGAGATGGATCAGATGCTGAAACATAGCTAAAAGCAGCAAGACCCCGTTCTGGTTAAAATCTAAATGCGCCAGACAAGCTCCCTTTAGGAGCTGTAACAACCCACCCTAGAAGACAGAGAGCTGCAGGGCTTGCAGTGTACACTTGTACAGTGATTTCCCCCTCCCCACCCTTTCTTGTTCCCATAAATGCTAAAAACTGTGATTGGCACGAACCTTCAAACCTATTCTGTCTTAAGATTGAAGAAGAAAAGCTGCTTTGTTTTTTTAAGAAGAGCTTTTCAGAGCCACATGAGTGCAAAAGGTAATTGAACATTTGGGTTTTTTGACTTTAAAAAGAATGAACACCAGGTTGACAGCTTCTGTACTTGGATGTTCATTTAATCGCCATTTCCTGATTACAGGAGGTGAACTATGTTGACAGACTTGGAGATTAATATGGAGCCCAGTATACTAACAGTAAGTATAAAGGACATAAAGAACTTGCAGTGAGGTTGGAGGGGAAAAATGTATATGGAGCATCCATATTACACACATCAATTGGAAGCACCTCAGCAGCCGGGGGGAAATCAGAGAGTAGCAAGTGAGGTGTTCAGAGAGCTGCAAATGCCTACAATTGGGAAGACATCCACATAAGGTGTATATACCTGAATACATATAGATGTGTGTGCATGTATATGAAAGTCAATCACATATGTGTATTAACTTACCTATTTCTCTATGTTTCTAAAGTTAAGATTTAGCCTAGTCAGTTGTATTAAAACCTATTGTTCAAGCTCTCAAGTTAGACAAGGTAATCAAACTGCATTCTGAAACTGCCAGAGTTGCACGAGTTTGTCTAATGCAAGTTGGCGTGATAACATTAAACTTGCATCCACTCCACCCTCCATGTCACTAATCAGAGTTTTATCCTGCTGAGAGCTCTGCACAGGCATAGACAGCATTCTCCCCTAGGACCCAAGGTTTGAGGCTAATTGTCATATAGGTCCTGTCCACACCTGGAGAGTACATTTTATTACTGCTGTCAGTAAAGAAGATGTAAAACCCACAGAACACTAATACTGTACCTGCCCCACTAAGGCTGCAACCCTAGACCAGATTTTCCTTCCTTGTGTATACTTGGAGATCAGTTCATATGCTACAGACACAGCATACCACATTAAACCCAAAACCAAAACCCCTTCCCCGTGAGTCAGTTGGTTTATAATAAAGGTAAAGCTTGTAACCACATTGCCAAATAGTTTCAGGCTTTTCCTCACTTCATTTTTGAGTTACTCTTCCCCTTGGCCTCCAGTCTCACTCCTGGCAAGCACAGAGCTTGCTAGAGCCACACTCTTTTTTTTATTGTGCTAAAGCCCTGCACAGCCTTATTCTCCTTCAGACTAAGAGAGGTTTCCTCTCCTGCAGCCTCTTCAAGTGGTTATTTCACTTACAGCCACCTAAGCTTTCCTGGTTCAGTGTTTCTTGGTAGGTGTTTCATCATTAAGCTTCATTAGGAACTAAAACGGAATATTCCCCCAAAAGCCAAGAAGCAAAGAAGATCCACTGGAGTAATTTGCTTCCTGGGATCCAGTCTAGGCATCCAGAAAAGATTTTTTAAAACAGTGCTTAAAACAAGCTTGTTGGCTAACCCTGAGGCTGATTGCATGGCATCTTTTTAAGAAAAGAGCATCTTCTCCATGTACAATTTTACAGTCAGAGTCAAGGCAATAAACATGTTCTTAAAATGTGTTAATTTGTTTTCTAAACACAAAACATTTTCTCTTTAGAGGCAGGCTTCATGGAAATTGTTGTATGAAATCCATACTGATACTACAGAACTTGAAGGCAAATAACACTTGGGACTCTTGGAAAATTCAGTTAGGGAAAAAGCATGTCCTAGAAATCCTTCTCCCACCCAGAAACACAGTTTTGAGATAAGCTTTTATAGCACTTCAGAACTACCACTTCAAAATGCTAATTCCATTTTTATTTTACTCTTTTGATTGCATATAGGATATTTCTAGTTGTTTAATTACTCCTTGATGCTAGGGACAGCTGATGCTGACATATAATGTACTATAATAGACATTAAACCTCTTTTATTTTACAATTTTCATTTTTAGATTAGCTTCTCCTGTCTGCATGGCAATGAAATGGC